GGTGGGGAGAGGAGAGGTGGAGGAGGAGGAGGGTGGAGGTGGTTTCACCCCCTCTTTGCTGGCGCTGGGGCTAAGGGAGGTGTCGTGGTTCCGTCGCTCCGAGGTGTCTCCGTCGGGAGATGTTGGCATCGCCATCGGGGGAAGACGTGACCCGTCTGTCCCCGTTCCTTGGCCAAAGCGTGTGAGCTCGGGCCAAGAGCTCCGTGTTTGGGGGAAATTCAGGGAACTGGAGCTGGAGAGAAGCCTCACAGGCTGCTTTGGGGGGAGAAAGGGCTGGTGGGGAGGACACTCCTGAGCCGTGTCCTTGGGAGCGGTGAGAGGATGGTGTGTGATGGTTCCAGAGGTGGGCATCAACCCATCCATCCATCCATCCACCCTTCCTTCCATCTGTCCACCCATCCTGCCACCCACTCACCCATCCATCCATCTGTCCATCCATCTGCCCAGCAGCCTCACCCCAAGCTCTCCTGGGTGGGCTACGGGCGCTGAATTGGGGTGATTTGGAGCCACAGGATGTTGGCGCTGACATCCCATGGGATTCCAACATCTGGAGAACCAGCAAAGGTCAGGATGGACATCTACAGCCCCTTTGGGCCACCCCTGGGCAGGCCCCAGCTGCTGTCCCACAGCCAAGGTCTGCTGAGGCTCGGCAAAGCCTCCCGGCCCCGTGCCAAGCGCCCGCCGAGCCCGGAGCCACACACTGATCTCGCTCATCCCCCCGCAATCCCTTTTATCCCAGGACACATTTAGCCTTGGTTAAATCCATGTCTGAGGCTTCCTGGGCCGTGGGAAGCAGACAGGGCACGCAGGGACACAGGTCCCACCAAGGTGCAGCCATGGGGTGGTGTGGGGGCATCGGTTGGGACCACTCAGCTCTGACTGTGGACTGGGATTGCTCAGCTGATCCCAGCTCAGGTAGGGACCAACTTTATGCATTTCCCAAAGGTGGGAAGGGTCTGGAAGTCAGTTGTGAACATATCCAGTGGCTTGGGCCTGGGGAGGATGTCATGCCTAGAAGATGAGCTGTGGTGGTGCAAGGGAACGGTGGCTAGAAGGGGCTGTGCTTTGGTGATGGTGCAGGATGTGGTCCTAGAAGGTGCTGCTTTGGTGATGATGTGGGTAAGGTCACCAGAATTTTTTTGGAGGAGAAAATTAGGGAGCTGGTGCAAGATGTGGTCCCTAGAAGGTGCTGCTTTGGTGATGATGAGGACGTGGTGACAAGAAGGTGCAAGACTTCGGCTTTGGTGCAGGACATGGTCCCTAGAAGGTGCTGTCCTTTGGGGATGGTGCAGGATGTGTTTCCTAGAAGTTGCTGTGCTTTGGTGACCTTGAGGACATGGTGGCTAGAAAATGCAGCTTTGGTGATGGTGCAGGACATGGTCACTGGAAGGAGCTGTTCTTTGGTGACGGTGAGGACATGGTGGCTAGAAGGATTTTTTTGGAGAACAGCTATGGAAATGGTGCAAGACACGGTCCCAGAAGCTGCTATATCTTGGTGATGGCACAGGATGTGGTCTCTAGAAGATGTTGCCTTGGTGATCTTGAGGAAATGGCCTGAAAGTTCTGTATTATGGTGACACTAAGAACATGGTGACTAGAAGGTGGCATGCTTTGGTGGCAGTGGGAACATGATGTCTAGAAGGTGCAGTACTTTGGTGATGGTGAGGACATGGTCCCTGGAAGGTGCTGTGCTTTGAGGATGGTGCAGGATGTGGTCCCTAGAGGATGCTGTGCTCTGGTCATTTTGAAGACATGGTGACCAGAAGGTACAACATTCTGTTGGTGCAGGATGTTATCCCTAGAAGGTGCTGTGCTTTGCTGATGGTGAGGACATGGTCCTTCCTTGGTGACAGCGAGGCCATGGTGGCTGGAAGGGTTTTTGGGAGAGAACTATGGGCATGGTGCAGGATGTGGTCCCTGAAAGGTGCCATACCCTGGTGACAGTGAGGACATGGTCCCTAGAAGGTGCCATACTCTGGTGCTGGTGCAGCCAGTCCCACTTTCTGCCCTTTCCCAGTGTGCTGGGTCAGAGCCACACTCCCATCCTGGAATGTTCACCCAACCCCAATCCCACCAGGATCTGGGGTGGGTCCTTG